AGCGCTAAATAGTTTTCCACCTTAAAAGATTTCTCACAGTGAGCGCATCTGTAAGGCCTGTAAGTGCCATGTGTTTTAGCGTGATCGACTAAATTGCTTTTAGTCCTAAAATATTGACCGCATACTGTACACCCATACGGTTTTTCACCAGTATGAATTCGTATATGTTTTTGTAAAACCCATTTCCTTGCCATGCGAACACCACAATGGCCGCATTCAAATCGTTTCTCGCCAGTATGGACAAGCGAGTGTTTCTGAAGAGTATCTTTTCTTTTGAACTCCTTCTCGCACTGAGGGCATTTAAAGGGCCTAGAATCCGTGTGAATTCTCATATGTCTCTTCAGACTGCTTTTTTTAGTCATGTTTTTGCCGCACTCCAAGCACTTGTACGACTCTCGAGGTACCATCTGCACTTGCACGCTTTCCAGGACTGGTTTGCTGGTAGTCAAACCGCCCGCGTATTCTCCGGAATTTCGATTGCTGTCGATGGAATCATCAGAAATTTCATTGAGGACACATTCCGGCTCCAGGATATTGTAGTAGTCGTTGTCAGTGACGTCAATAGTGAGATGCTGCAAGAGAAAGAGTTGGTTAATGATAAAGCCAACGCACTGACGTGTTCATAGTTCAGGCAGCAACGGACCATTCAAGTAGAAAGAAAAAGTTAAAAATGTTCGAAATGGTGGCCAAATCAGAAGACGCCGAAAAATGTATGATTGTTACAATTTTTTTAGTGCTGGTATTGTCCTCCAGAAAAGACGGAATTAGAAGGCACTGAGTGCAAAATTTTTAGGGACTATGGCGAGCAAAGTCTGAAAGCGACGGAGAAAGGATTTTCAGAATTTGCTGCTTTGATTTGGATCTTAAATTTCCGTGAAAAATCAAATCAGCAGCTTTCATTTTGCTCTATGTTATATTCCGCAGACTACCAAGAGTGAAGGTTGCAGCGACTGCTTACTGTGTTATTGGCGTATACTGCAGTCAGCATCCAGAGTACGACAGCAGCACGACTCAGCATTTTTTTCTTTCTCATCTTCTAAAATTAGAATAATAAAGCGCAAATTTGTAGCAGCAAAAATTCAGATCACTGCTGGATATTAATCAAATCCAAGACGGAACAAACAAAGGCGCAGAAACTTGCGAAAAAACTGAAAAAAAAAGTCCCTAGATGCATTCTATCTAAGAATAGATAGATGCAGTGTATGTGCATCCGGACTGCTTCTGGTGCTTGATGCAGTGGTTAAGACGTCGTACACGAATGTGAAGAGGAGAGATTCGAATTCCTAATCATCTGCGAAAAAGAGCTTCATCCACATGTTGTGAGCCGGAGCTACAATAATTGTGATGCATTCAACCGGTCAGAGTATAATCACGATAAATTTTCGTGTAATTACTGCGTAGAGCTTTTTTAAAAGAACGATTTCACAGGGTAATTTTCGTTCCACCATAAACCTAGGCTGGAACGCACCAGGCGAGCCGGAGCGATCATGCGTTTTTGCACAAAACTTGAA